TTTATAAAGATAAATTATTAAAAATATTAAATAAAAATAAAAATAAAAATAAATAATTATAATAAAAATAAAATAAAAAATTAAGCGACTGTACCGGTACCTGTGAATACCGTAGAAGTTTCCTTAAAGTTATTTGGATTTAGAGAAATATGAAAGTGAAAGAGAAAGAAAAGTGTGTATGTAAAAGACATATTTGCCCCTAAGAATATTTTTATACAACTCAAATAAAATAGTTAAATCCACTTAACTTAATGAGTCCCACACAGTTTAATTTTTTACACCTTTCTCTATCAATCTCTTCGCTTTAGAAGAAATTTTTGTTTAAGCAAGGGAGCAACCATTTTTTTTTTCTCTCTTCTAACACTTCTCTCCTTTCCCAAACAACCAAAAATACATTCTCAAACTTCTTTCTCACTTCATTCTCTTCAAAATCTCTAAAAGCAAACGATGCGTAAAGGATGCCGACATCCTTTATACCAAATATATGAGTCTGCAGTCGTATATACCACTGTACCATATCTCATCCTTAGGAATAGTTTTATTTTACTATGAAGTATAGTTACTAAAATTTTAAAACAGAAGGCAACAGTTTGATTATTGAACAGCAGAGCATTTCCAACTGCACCCTATCCTCTTTCGGCATATAAACATACAGCAGGTCTTTGTGAGCAATGCCAAAGATTGTGAGAGAATAAAAAAAATTGACAACCGAACCATGCTTTCAAGTAGAACTAATCTGTACATTTTCATACTTCCTCCCTCCTTGAGCTAAATATCCAACTTAATCAAAATAGGATGTCTAAGTAAACAAATATTGATCAGGCAAATCACCTATTTGAATTTTTGAACACCAACACTTGTTGCATAATTAGTCCCAAACACAAAATATGGTCAAACATTAGCAGAAGGGGTTGAATAACAATTTAAGTGCTCAAAAACAAAAATTTGTTATGAGCACATATTTAAATTTTCCATTAATTCACACACCCTGTATGAGCAGAAAGAAACTCATACCTGTCCGCTAGTTATCAAAGACACAGTTGGCTGTAAGCTGCCAAAGATGGATTGGAACAATCCCCCAGAAATCCAGAATAAACAGGCACACAGCCACTGAATCATTCTGTTGTGCATTTGGTCTCAAAATTCATTGTCGGCCCAAAACATTTTCACTACACAATAAAACAAATGCATAATGAAATAAGTCATCAGTTACCTTTCTAACCTCATGTAAATATTCTATCTCAATGGCCTTCTAATCACTGTCATTGAACTTTTTCTATTCCTTTCCTCCATTACAAGGCAATGGATACAGTAACAGTATTGGTTACCCAGCCTCAAATTCCTCATTCTAGACTCAAAAGGGAACCTTTTGCACTAGTTTGCCACCAGCCTCACCTTTTATTCCTTTATTTATAATGGCTTCTAAGATTTTTTTGACAAATCTGCATTGGATACATATCTTCTGCATATGGATGCTGTTCATTTTATATTTTTTGGTCTTTGAATTAACTCAAGGGAAATGAACTCACTTTGCAATAATAAGCAGATGAATTTCTCTCCTTTTATTTTTGAAATATTGAAGAATACACAACAAATCTTAAAAATAAAAAATAAAAAAAAACAGCTAAACTATGATTTTTCGTTCACAAAGATCAAATGTGAAAACTCAAAACTGCCATTTGGTGCTTCTTTGTTTATTTGTAGACCAGGTTAAACAACCAATTCCTCACAATAAAGTCAAGAAGAAAGTATTAAAAAAAAATCTTTTTCAAGAAAATGAGTTTACCTCTTTTGTTGTCGTGGTTTAAAGTTACTTTTCCTCTTGTTAAAAAACATGAACAATATGCATTATTGGATTGTTGTCAATATAGTCAGCTCCAATCACTATGACTAAAGTATTTAAAAACAAATGAAAGACTGAACAAACCTGCGCCTTTTAAGAGAGCAATCAAGTAGGTTCTTGAGCCTTCTCTTCATATTTTTGAACCTCTTCCATCCTAGGTAAGTGATGTTATTATTTTATTAAGAATGAAATAATTGAACTATCCATCTGTAAGTCTATAAATGAAGGATTGACCAATATCTTCTGCTCATTCATTATCAGTTACCATTTACATGCATACTAGAATGGACGATGACCAACAATGAACCAGTTGTCTAGAAAAGACATGTCTATCTCCAACAGAGCATATTTTTGTTTTCTTTCTGTATTGAGCAAGCCTATAAATTCAGACATTAATTTCTAGAAGAAGTTAACAGATGAACCATTAAATAATTTAACCTTACCCGTTATCTTCAATCTCTATATCCATTGCAATTGCTTCTTTATGTTGCAAAATTGACGAGAATAATCTTTTATCCTGGAACAAAAGTAAGCATTGTAGATTGTACTGATATAATCATACAAACAAAGGTAAATAAAATAGAATATGCTCCTTGGATGGTGTTAAAAAACAGTGGAATAAGAATTAAATTGCGAAACTAAAATGTCAAATATCCAGCTATGCAGACAGCCGTAATTTATGAAGCAGCTGAAGAATATTACAGCTGTCAATGAAACAGGCATACTTGAGTCTCTCTAAAACAGTGTGCAGGGTGAAAAAAATTAAATTGGAAAAATGCGCTTCCAGTGCCAGATTCTTATTGTCCTCATATACATTGGAAATTTACAATAGATAGATAAAGTTTGAAAAAGAGGACAACAAGATACACAACAACCATATTAGGTCAAGTCAGAAATTGTGTTGAAAATCAAATCTTTCTACCCAAAAAAATGATGAATTTCATTTACCTCTTCATTCATATTTGTGACAGTATCCTGAATCCTCTGTAATATGATTCTGAAGCTTCCAACTTCATAATTTAATACCTTGATTATTTTTAAAAAAAAAATGTTTAGAAATCATAAGGACTTCCAATAAGAAGTCACACGATAATGAAGAAATTAAATATTAAACCTCTTTGTCTGAAATTAAATTCTGTATCTCCAGATCCTTTGCAGATAAAATTTTCTGAATGTGAGACTGGTTAAGAAAATATTAAAAAAGAATATATAGATGAAAGAGCAAATAAACTTTATGGTATTTGATACAGATAACTACTCAATGCAGGTGTGGATATATCTTCTATTTGAGCTTGGTTATTGTTGTGAAGTTTTGCTGCATCCAGCTTTCCTTCAAGCTCTAAGATGATTCTATCTTTTCTTCTTAATTCAGCCTCGTTGTTTTCAAGTTTATTTCTTAAATCAGAGATATTTTCTGTGATGAAAAGGACGGTTTTTTCAGTTGATAAAACTTAGATGGGATGTAACACAGCACATATATACAGCTATTATATATATCATACTAACATGTTTTAGAATGTAGAAGAAATTAACAGGATTTTTATATTACCAACAAATGCTTTTTCAAATGAAGAGATCCAGTCCATTTTGTTTTTCAAGCTGCTCACTGAATAAAGGAAATATAAAGACAATTGATAAGCAATGAAACTTCAATGGTTTGCGTGAATATCCACAAATGAGCATACTCTGGAGACAGTACTAGCTGGGAAACTACTTACCAACTTCCTCTCTATCATTGACAATGTTCTGGACTTTATCCACAATTTGCTTGATAAAAAACACCTCTTTCTCTATTGAATCATATAATGATAGATAGGAGCTTATCTTCTCTGAAAGGACACTGAGCATTCTATCTTTGGTTCCAATAGAACGTTTCATTTGAGAAGTAGATTCCTGTTAAACACATTGTTTCATACCCAAAAATGATCAATGGCAATCCTTAATTAGGAGAGTTTCAATATTTATTAGTTCCCTTATAAAGTAGGAACCTTCATTGTGTTGGCGGTATCCACAAGGATCACAACAACACCATAAACCCAAATTCCTAAATCTTATGGTTTGTACCTACTAACCCTACTCTTGCTCCCCACACCCACACCCCAACCAAGACAGAAAGGTTTCAGTTATGCTGAAACATGTGGATTTGGATCAAGTTACAACTTACAAGTAATAGTTATATTCCGGAGACCCACAGAATTTGACAAGGAAATAAAAAGCTCAATGTTTCAAACTTGGCCCACTGGAAGATCCAAGATTGCGATGAGAATGAGCAATGTATAATTTTCTTTCAAGCAGACCAAGAGTGATTTTTTATTTTTTTCCCGAGGGATGGGCGCTGGCAGATTAAACATTAATTAAGTAGACCAATGTTTTGTGTAATCATGCTCTTGGTGAATATACTAGATATTGATCATAATGGCAAGTGTTTATTGAAAAGTTTAACATTTAATGTTGCCAATGCACTTATTTCCACCATTTAGCAAAAGTGATAAAAAAAAATTTTAAAAAAAATTAAAAAAAATTGGATTACCCCGATTGTTTAGTTATCTAACAAAAGCCACAAAACTAGCCTCACCAACTTCAGTAATGCTCAAATTCCGGCACACTTTGTTTATTTACCAAATTGATCAATAAAAGTTAAATAAAAACCAGGAAATGAGAGGGGGGAGAGGCATCTCTTCCTGTCATCGTTTAAAAATTTAGCATTGAATAATTCTAAACTCTCCAACATCTTAGTTCTTCCTAATGCTCCTACTAACTCGATAAAGAAACTATTAAATGCTTGTATGTTCCAAAATAGTAGTATTAAATGCATTTACTTTTTCATTCAATACTTTCTTTATCTAGGAGTAGCATATACAGTAGCATAAATATCAGATAATAAAAGCGCCAATCATACACAATAACCTCGTAAGCAAGCACAAAGTTTTCCCTAGACTGAAGTAAATTATTCAGTGTTCCCTTCAACTCTTTCTGCTTGCTCTCCAGCAGCACATTATCGTTCTCTAGATAATTCACCTGCATAACAAACACGAATCAATCAATTTCCTCTTTTTTAGCGCAAAGAAAACCTTCAACACTCGCACGAACAATTAATTCCCCCAAACCTTCCTCTCCAGTTTCTGGCGCTCCTCTTTCACAGACGCCAACTCGCCCTGCAATTCCTGTATCTTTCTGCCACACTCTTCCTCGTTCCGCTTCAGCTTCTGCTCTCGCTCTCGAACATTGCAAACCGAATCAGCGCGAAGATACGGGAAGTTATACGCGACGAATAAACGTGACCTAATTGAAGGGAATCGGAAACCTGGATTAGAAGGTGGTGCTGCTCGGTGGCGGAGCGTTCTCTTTCCTGAAAGTGTGAAGGTTAGTGGAAGAGGAAACGGCCACGGCGATTGGTTTCGGAGACGGAGAACGTTACCCTGAGATCTCGAACTTCGGCGACGAGGGCTTGAAGTTGGAGCTTCAACTTCGAAAGCTTGAGCAATTCCATCACAGTTTTTCATCATTGCATTTCAAATTCTCCAACTTTTTATACCACGAGTCTCCGCACGAAACGACGCCGTCTCTGTGCAGGTGACACCTGGGCTGCTGTTGCGTATGTAAATATACGACTTTTTAATTTTTAAAAATATTTATTTTGGTCCTGAAAAAAAAAAGAATAATTTTATAAATTTTAGAAATACATCACGTGTTGTTCTTAAATTTTATAAATTAAAAAAATTATCTCTCGATTATGAAAATAGGATTACTGACGAGTATTTTGGGTGATATATAATGTAAATATACGGTTAAATATGTTTTAGTTTTCTTACTTTTTTTTAAAAAAATATACTTTTAGTTTTAAGTATTATTTAAAAATATTATGTATCGTTCTTATTTTTTATAAAAATTTAATTTGTTTATCGACATATTTTTATAAATAAAAGATTAAAAGAAGATAGTATATCTTTAAGATACTAAAAATAAATTTGTGTATGTATACAATGAATAAAAGCATGAATATACACTTTTTATTGACTTATTTTACCTTTTGAACTAACCGTGGTAGTTGTATATTTTTTAATTTTAATTTTCTTTTTAAAAGTAGTATTGTTATAGTATGAATTAGTGATTTGTATATTCATTGTGAAAAGAAAAAAACATAAAATATGAGCAAATAGACATGATAATATCAATTTACATATTTTAATTAAATTTTTATTGCCAATGAGTTTTACTAATTTTTTTAGTTATCTGGTGGTGGATAGCATTTATATGGGATACTTAATATTCATGAGAAAGGTCTGTCAATCAAGTTGCATCATAGTTTTCTAGTGTGATCGCTATTGTTAAAAAAAAAAAAAAAAAAGGTAAGAGTATATGAGAAATTATTTAGGCTAATTCCCTAATATTAAGAAATGTACAATTACTTTAATTTTTCTATATATCTTCCTTAAAGTATCTTATTTTCCTTTATAATGCATAAATATTATTGTTGTTGTTTTTGTTTTTGTATTTTATAATTTTTTTACAAATGATGAATATTTTTTCTTTTATTTTTTATTGTTTTACAACAATTTCTGTCAAGTGCACATAAATAATGATAAAATATCAAGTCAAATTGACCTACATGGCTATATCTACTCCAAACGTAAACAATGTTTCAATCAATGTATGTAGAGATGAAACATATGAACAAACAATATTCATGTAAATTTCTATATAGATGATATATATATATATATATATATATATATAAGTGTCAAATATGCATATCAAATGATTAATTAGTGATTAGGTTTAAACTTGTCACATGTTTGAAGAGTAAAAAAAATTGTTAAGGAAAAAGATAAATTTATATCCCTTGATTTAAATTTTGTTATTAATAAATAAAATGATTTTAAATTAATAAAAAAAGTTTTTAAAAATGACTAAAATGAAATTTCTAAGAAGACAAAACTTCTCACTAAGACGCAATCTTTCATAAGACAAATCATTATGTAAGATGAAAGATGCACTAAGATGAAGTTTTAATTAAAAAGAGAGATATGTATTAAATGTTTATCATTTATGATCTTTAAAAAAGAAGTGATTATGTCTAAATTGTTCTAAATAGATTGAATTCAAAAATACTTTTTGGGTACCTACACTTTACAAAAAGGAAAGAAAGACATGTCTTGCGTCACGAAAGAACAAGTAGGTCTTTGCAAAAAATGGAAAGTAGCAATTAAAAGTTGTTTCAACATTACGCCAACATGACATACGCATAATTCTACCCACTTGATACCTAAAAGGCGATAAGTAGCTTCTTTGATTAGATAATAAGTGACAATTTGGTAAAAGCATAAAATACAAACATTCATTACACCAATAGATATTTCTCTCCTCAAGAAGCAAAACAAGAAGACAAACAATACAGGCCTTAAGAGAGAAACTTGAGGATTTGTAATTGTCATCGGAGCATGTATTTTCAGGCAAATTGGAATGAGTGAAATTCAAAGGTTTCACATGTGTGAAACTGTGTAATTGATTATAAATTAAAATGAATTAATTAGTATTATCTACACTAACAAAATGCATTTACTTTTTTATAGTTCAACTCTTAAAGATTTTATAGTTAAACATATTTGACTTGAAACGATTTAAAGATATGTAACATTTTGGGAAGTTTCTCAAAAAATGTGAGTGAGGATAAAAAATACACTAAAAGATATTGTGTTGGTTGATAGAGATAGTCATTAATTAAAAAAATAGTCAAACATCTAAAAAAAACTACTCATAAAGGTTTTTAACCTATTGAGGATTATTAAACTTTAATTTCGTCATACAAGTTAATCATTTCGTTGTACTAAGTTATTGACTTTACTAGTTTCTTGAACAGAAGAAAGTTAAATCTCAAGTTGGCACCAATTCTCTCTCTCCTAGTTGGTTGTTCTATCTCTTAGTCACCTAATTTGGACTATAATACAAAGTTGTGATACTTTTCAATCAACAACGAATACTTTGTTATATTTAAATATTATGTTCATGGGTGTTATAGTTAAAATAGAAGTTTATTATATTTCGTAAAATTTTTTGTAGTTTAATTTTTATGTCTCAGTTATTTTTACCTTTTCTGTTTGTTCTAGCTACAAGTTTATAATTGTAAGCCTTACATTATTGAATTTGAGGTTTAACAAAATAAGTTGTTCTGAAAGGTCTCAATCAAGGATGTAACAATTGAACACGAGTGTTTTTTTGTTATATTTAATAAATCAAACTTCTCTTGTAGAAGTAAGGGATGACTTAGTGGTAACGATTCTCATAAGACTATGTTGAGGGTTTTGCAAACAACTAGAGAACTTAGGGAGTTTTTTTTTTTTCATTTGTTCTTTACAATTTTAGTGTTGGTTGATATTTCTCTTCGACAATGTCTCAAATCCTTGTCATGTAGAAACGAGTTTTGCATCTTGCATAAATCAGTTTTGTAGGTGAAATGAAATATGAGAATAGGAATGAGTAAGAAGAAATAAGTGATTCAAACACCATTTCAATTATTTTAAAACTAAATTAAAAATTAATTATTATATTATTATGTATCTAAATTTACTTAATATGTAATTATTGCATGTCAATCGAAAGAGAATATACATATTAACGTCATAAGACTAACTTAACATAAGATAATTATTAAATTGTATGACGGGATTAAAATTTAAGGACTCATCATAAAATTAAAAAAAAATCAAAGATCTATTAATCACCTTTAATATTTTTCAAAAATCAAATTAAATGTGTAATCAAATAAAATTATTATTCAAATATAGGAAGTGAAACATACTTAATACAACCGAAGTGGGTTGTCACAAAATGGATATGAGTTTACATCTTCTTATAGCCATCCAAAATCTTCTATAGTAAACATTCCTCCTTAAAGGAATCTCATAGGAGTCTTAAAAAAGTTATTTGTATATGTAGCCATGATCGAATAAACTTGCAATTTAGGTAATTCAGTAATTGGAGTAATTTCTTAGTTGGGCATCAGCATGTTAGTATTCTTTCATATCACTTTAAGAATTTAGAGAGAAAAAAAACTCATATTATAAAATTGAATTATCATTTTTGAACATGAAAAAACCTTATATTATTATTTTAGTTCTCACTGTTATACCAGTCTTCTGCATTACTTAACATTTTTTATTTTTAGAATAGTGAATTTGAGCCTAACTCAACCTTACAAAACCAGCTTATAAGGTGAGGATTGTTTTTCACTTATATACTATTTAATTGCCTAATCTCTAATCGATGTGGGACTTGGGTTTTTTCCATTATACGCCTTTATGTCCAGCACTATTAGGTTTGGTACGTGGATAAATGATATGTGACCCTTTTAAATGATATAGGATTGACGGGACTTGAGTTTTTTTTTTCTCAATACACTCCCTTCATGTCCATGGTACATATATCAATGGTAAGTGACCCATTTTTAAGAATCTAGGATAGCTTTGATATAATCTTAGAATAGTGAATTTGAGTCTAACTCAACCCTACAAAACCGGCTTGTAAGGTGATGGTTATTTTCCACTTATATATTATTTAATTGTCTAATATCTAATCAATGTGAAACTTGAATTTTTCCCAATATTTATACTTGAAAAAATTAGTAAATTGTTAATTTATTTTATCTGCATTAAATTTTATATTAAGATTTCAAATTCATAAATTTAACTTTAATTATTTTAGGTGTAAATATTTTAAGTTTTCGTATTAATTTTATCTTGAATTTTAACTATTTGTAATATGAAGCTAATTATTTTCATTTTTTTTAGTTTACTTTTTTTCAAACTTCAAACAATGTATATTTTTACTTAAATTAAAAGTACTTAAGTAATATGTGAGATATTTATTAATTTAATATTCTCCTATCTCACAACGACTACGAAGTAAGATTTTTACACATAAATTAAATATAATAATAAATATATTTAATTTTATTAAAATAATTTATCCTTTCAATAAATACATTATTTTTAATTGTAATGGTTGAATAATTATGAAATAATATTAGAAAAAGAATATTTGATATTATATTAAAAAGTAAAAATATTATTTATTTTGAGAAATTTTTAATATTAACATTGTTATAATTATGTAACTAAAGGAGTATAAATTAGATTCTTAAAAAAATGAAATAAATATTATGAATTGTTAAAGAAGAAGAACAAATTTTAAAATTATTGTTTTGCAGTGCACAAGATGGGTCAGTGTGCTGTTCAAAAGAATAAAAGAAAGTTGTGAGGAAGTGGACCATTTTAATTAAAGCAGAGCAATATTTTTCTTACCGAGGTGATCCTTAATTGCATGCCTGCGATCATCATTGGATTGCAGCTGTTACCCTATCAATTCTCACTGTTTATACTATACTGTACCACTTTCTGTGTTTAGGGTTTACACCATGCTATTTTGTTTATACCTATTAAAGATATTGTGAATATATTACAGATATTGTGGATACATATATTATGGGCTATTATCCTCACTATCAATTAGGGATATGATTAGATTAGTTTCCATAATATTAGAGATTAGTATCTCTATCATTTA